TTCTAAATTTGTAATTCCTAACCAACATTGCCTATATGCGTTTTGAGTTACCTATCACTGCATTTGAATCTTTGAAAGGAAAAATACACAATAAAATAACTTACTAGCCATGCATTTATTCATTTAAGATTTTATTGAGACACTTAACCCAAATCTACACGTGGTAGGGCACGTCTTAAAGGGGATGAGTTTTAAAGGATGGGTAACTGCTAGCTGGGCACAGAGGAGGCATTCATTTCAAGGAGAGCAAACAGTTGAACCAAGTATTTGTATGTGTGAGTCTTAGGTGGTAGGGGAGGAAGTGGTAGGCAGAAACCAGTCACCACTAAGTAGCTTTAATGTATCCTGAGGTCAACAGGATACCTTTAGGAAATTTTAGGGTGGGTTAAGAGTGATAATGATAAAGACAGTAAGCTGTTTTTAATTATTACCACTTGGACACAGTTAAGAATGTGCTGCAGTGGCTTTGGTGAGATGTAATAAGAACCTGAATGAGAACAGTAACAGAGGGATGAAACTAAAGGGACAGATTTGAGAACTATTAAGGAGAGAGACCAGCAGGACTTTGCCCAGTTTTGTGAGGGTAGAGTCAAGCACGTAGCATATTTCTTGCTTGGATAACTGAGTGCTGGCATCCCATTTGATCATTCGTAGATATGCTGAGTTTCAGGTGGCTTCAGGACATCCAAGTGGACATCCAGTAGGATTCTGCAGCTGAGAAGAAAAGTGTAAGCCAAAAATAAAGATTTGAGAGGCCTCAGCATAGGTAGCTGAAGTCTCAGGATACATGAGTTCACACAGGAAAAAAAAAATACATCTAAATACATGTGTTAGAAATTTCTTCTTGGCATATAAGTTTGCTCAATAGTGTACATATTTCACATTTATCTTATTTACCACTGTACCCCCAGTGGCTAGCAAAATGCTGATATGTAATTACTTAGTTTAAATAACGAAATAATTATTTGTGCAAAAATTATGTGTTTATTTCTTTTGGTTTGCTAGGCTATTAAAATTATCTCACAGCCATGTAAACCATGGTTAATGTGGATTTAGTTCATCTAGTATTAAGTGATCATTTAAAGCTAAAACTCATTTGTGTTTGAATATTTTAACTCATTTAAAAATTTTATCTATTTATCAAATGTCCCTGGCCTACTGAAGGGAAGAAGTATTAGTAGGTGAAAAGAGTCTAAAGATGTGGTTTTTATGATGCTGATTTGATCATGTGATCAAATGTGATCATGTGATATGATGACATGATTTTTTGCATCTCCTGGCAGGACCCTGGGCTGCCCCACCATCTCTACCTCCTATTTCCTTTTGACGAGCTCACTTTTCGGGCCCTTCTTTCTACATCTACCTACATCTACAGGGCAGCCCAGCAGTGCTGGCTCCAGAATTTCTCTCTGAGAGAATGGGGAAGCACCAACCTATCTGGTTTGAGATGGAGAAAAGAGTTGAAATGCACTTGCATAGTCGTCTGAAAGAAGATTGAAGTAACTTCATTTACCCCTATCCAAGCAGAGGGAGCTACTAATAATCCCTGCCTCCGGCCCATATGTAGTCCTCTGCACCACTACTTAAGGGTTACTATCTGTCTGAGATGGTATATGATCTGTAGCTTTAGGAATTTCACAAAACACCAGTTTCTTCTGCATATCATTCTGCTCCAGTATCCTGATACACATCTGCTATTATATCACCCCCTGTCATTCCTCATTGCACTTAACAGCATCTTTTTGTTTTCTTTGTTTGTTTGTTTGTTTTTTACATTTCTTAACTTGATTACTCTTTCTTCACTTGACCAGAGAGTCCAGAAGGGCAGGTTCTATGTCTGGTTTTGCACACCAATAATAAAGCTTTATTTATGTATTTCACACTTGAATAGTAAGAACACCTTATATTTTCTTATGAGTCTCCATAAAAACTAGCATTTACTCATTCTTAACTCATTCTTTATAGCATCATAATATCATAGACTTTGTATAAGATAAGTAAGTTACTCTTTGTATTTGCCTAAGTCAAGATGTAAAATATTATATGGTACGACAACGTCACTTAACATTTCTCACTTTCTGCCTTTCCCATTTGGTTATTTAATTTTATACCCATCCCAAATCACAGAACAACTGTATCTATCCTACATTATATATGAGAAAACTTTGTAGAAAAGTTGAAACCCAGGATATCACCACATATCAAAGACCCAACCAAAGGCTGAGGAATACTGCTTTGCAGTACAATTTATGTTATCAATATTTGTTTGTATTTATATTGAGGCTTATAGGCAAAAACTATCCCATTTGCAAGTGGGATATATTTGTATAAATATAGATTTGTATTTGTTTGTATATAAATATTTCTAACAAGGGATACCTTGCAAGTGGGATAGTTTTCACCTATAAGCTTCAATATAAATACAAACAACATAGAAATCAAAGGACCTGACAGTATATAAAGATTAGGGCTACCGGAATCCTCAGAGACGAAATGGAGTACCTGACTCCATCATTTACTCTACTTTTTGTGTTCTCTGTTGATGATAAAGGCCACATTTGGGACTTACCATTGTATTTAAATCACATTTCTACAATGTTCATTCTCTCTTACTAAAGGGGCTTGATGGCCACCAAGGGATCTTTCAGGCCAGGACGACATGTGCAGTTAAACTGTCATTTAATTTACCCCTTTAGGCTTTAAATTGCTGTTGAGAATATATATATATATATATATGTGTGTGTGTGTGTATATATATATGTGTGTGTGTGTATATATATATATATACACCCTTTGCTTATAAGCTAATTGTTTATACTTCTATAATCTTTTGTTTTCCTTTTTTTAAAAAAGTTATAGTTAAATTGGGATTTCACTATGACCCAAAGAAAATTTTCTTCCAAAGGACATATATAAAATTTGCAGTATATAGATAGAAATGGGAGAGTTTGTGCTTTCTTCTCATCATCCAGAGTTGGCAGTTTTTGCTGGATGAATCCAAAAATTAAAAACAATGAACAAATGTTCAAAGAAGCAAAACAAAACACACTGTGGACTGGCTCCAGGTTCCACAGTTGGTGCAATGGGAAACAGGGAAGTAGAAGATAAAGTCCCCACTCTAGGGTAGCCAATTGTTTCTTCCTTCAAAGTATGTCCACAATACAACCACCATTCTCCACCTCCACTTCATATCTTATAGCCTTGGTTGAAGGCCCCATAATCTTTTAGCTTTCCTACAGTAATAGGCGTCTAACTGATTTGCTGTTCCTTGACCTGGCCAAGTGTATTTCCATCTCAAGGCCTCTGTACTTGATTTTCCCTTTACACAGACTGCTCTTCCCATATATCCACAGAGTCCTTCATTCCCTTCAGGTTTCCGTTCAAATGTCATCATATCAAAGAGACTGACCCACTATAAAATAACTCCATGTCTCCTATCTACAATCGGGCTTTGTTCCTTTTCATACTACTTATCACTAACATGGCATTTTTTAAAATTAGTTTTCCTATTAGAATTATACTTCTTGAGCAGAGACTTTTTTACTATCTTGTGCCCTTCTGTATCCTCTGTGCCCCAGCACAGTGCCTGACACACAGAAAGTACTCAATAAATGTCTGTTCAATGGTAGTTAATTATTAACTGTTCAAGTTAAATAACAATACAGGGCAACAGCAAATTAGTAATACAAGATAGTACATAGTTAACTGCTAATTGAAGAAGATGTGCCAGTAATACCCCAAAGGAGTATACATCAGCATCACTTGGGGAGCTTTTCCAAAATATACATGCCCAGACCTTACCACAAGACCCACTTTATCTCCCCAGGCAGGGTCCTGAGCATGTGTATGCTTAAATAGCTTCCCAGATGATTCTATTTTTTATTGTGGTAAAATAAATATAACATAAAATTTGCCATTTCAACCATTTCCAGATTATTCCACCTAGCATCCATTTAAAACTACTGGTATAACATTATGTCAGTTCAGCAGAGCAAGAATAGCTGAAAAAAAAAGGCTTACCAAAAAAAAAAAAAAAAGGTACTATGGTATATTAAAGAACATGGGTTCTGGAGTTGACTATAAGTCCAACACTCATTAGCTATGAGACTAGACAAGTTACTTAACTGTTAGTTTCCACATCCATAAAATGAAGATAATCTCTATACCTTCTCTCTCCCCCTACATCTACTCCAAACTGCTCCCAGGTCATTGTAAAGCTAAGATGAAATCAAGTATATCTCTATTTTGGTGCACATACTAGGCATTAAACTAAAACTTACTGGAATTACTTTCACTGAAATAAAAAATGAAATCATGCTGGCAGAAACACAAAGAGTATGTGTAATCTTGGCATAAGTGGCAGTAAAAAATGTCTCTTCCTCTTCCAATGGGACAATTGAGAATGAAATCTGCTAGGAGCTCCACAGGTAAGACACTACTAGAACAGTGATTCTCAAACTTAAGCATTCTTCAGAATCACCTGGAGGGCTTGTTAAAACAGATTACTGGGCCCACTCTCAGAGTCTCTGGTTCATTAAGTCTAAGGTAGGGCCTGATAATCTGCATTTCTAACAAGTTCCTAGAACTTGTGATGACACTGGTGCTGCTAGTCTAGGAATCCCACTTTGAGAACCAGCGAATTAGAGTCTGCATATCCTAAAAGAATCTCTGAGATTAATTCCTTGAGTATAATTTTTTTAAAATAAAAAACCTGAAATAGTTCACCTAAAAAAACCATAACTGATAATATGCTTATGATTTTTAGAATATTTTACAATGTGATAAAAGTCAACTACTGAGATTCAAATAACAAAAGCAAAATTTCATGCCACTGGCATCCCAATGACAACTATTCTGAAAATTAATTCAAAGTTAAAATAATTCTTAGAATACTCATTTCTTAAAAGTTACAACATAGATAAAAACAAAACATGGCAATTTTAAAGGAATAAATGTACATATAAACTTTGACGCGTATAATAACCTAAACGAACACTTACATGTATGGAGGCATTCCGTCACTGTTGTTGGCTTGATCAGATACCCTTTACAGATATAGCAGGTAATGTAAGGATTAAAATCTTTCACCAAGTGTTTCCTTTGGGTAGCCATTCGTGGCTAGTGAAGTCTGGCTTTATGAGTTCGGGCAAAGAGGGGTCCTAAGTAGATGAAAGTCTGATCCCAGGAGCTAGTACGTCGTTCCCAGTAGGATGTCCTGAGGCATGAGAATTAGCATCCAGATTTATCAGGAGATCGTTGATCATCACTCCTTTTGGTGGTTCTGCTTTCCCATGTCTGTTTCCAAAATCATTTCAAAAAGATGAGAGAAAAAGGCGTCAAACTCCTCATAATGTATTAATGCCATTCTATTAACAGCAAGTGTTACATGTTCCCAATTGGGTGAATAGGTGAATAGAACATAACCTTCATTGTATCATTAACTTGCAAATTTGCTATAATTTAATTCAGAATAATGACAAATTCATCCAGTTCTGGAACCTCAACTATCACCTCTATACTAATGACACCCCAAGCTATTAACTACAGTTTGGTATCTTTACCTCTTCGCTAATGCATTTTAACTATCTGCTTGACTGCTCTATTAGGAGTCCCTGCCAATACAAGTTAGAAGATTAAAAAGTGAAGTCATTATCCTCCCTTTCAAAATAGTCCCCACTTCCATTTTGAACCCTACATCCAGTTACGAGTCAAATCAAGTTGATAGAAGTTGCTCCACTTGTATATCACCTCTCCACCTGCAGTCCATCTTATATTCTGTTACCAGACACATTTTATTCTGTGACACTTGGTCTTCTTATCAACGAATGTCAGCGTCTTCTCTTTACAAACAGAAAAACGTTTCTCATTCTGTCACATAAGACCTTCTACAGGTTAACCTTAATATACCCTTCAACAACTTTCTTCAACCTGAAGGGATCACTCCTCTCCCACCGTCTCCTCTGCAGGTTCTATACACTCTATCCAACATGCCCTTTCTCTCCTCTGTCTCCATGCTTCCTACCCTTCAAGCCCTTCTCCAATGCTATCCTCAGCGCAATCTTTCCCTAGTTTTTAATGCTTCTTTCCCGTTACATTTGCCTTTTATTTTGATTTATAGTTACATTCATTCTTTACAGTCTTTATTAGACCAAAAACTCTTCAACAGAAACTGGTCACATTTAGTAGATACATAACCTGGGTAATGTTCCTTTCCTGTCTCAGTTTTTTTTTTTTTTAAACTGCAAAATATGTATCCTCTCAGAAAACACAACATGAAAGGTGTTGATTTTCCTAAGTGCATTCCATAAACAGGAACTTTCCCCCATCTTAGCTGTTAACTCATTGGTAAGTATAAAGCAACCGGAAAGGTAAAAGGCATTCCATCAACACATAGCCACTACGAATGTGCAGGGAATGCGTGTAATCATCCTATTCTCTTGGGAAATCATATTCGTGGGTGTAACAGAAAGCAAGCATAATTAAAAGACAGGGAATCAGGGTTCTGGCCCTTAGCTCTGTATGACCTTCAGCAAAGCGTTTCATATCTGTGCCTGGGTCTCAGCTTCCTCCTCTGTAAGTTGGGATTAACTGCCTTGCCTTTTCCACAGGTTTGCCATGAAGCTCCAAAGTAAGAGAGAGTCCTTTGGAAGAGGAAATGCACGGTCCCGACCTGGGGTGGTGCTAAGATCCTAAAACACAGAGCCCTGTGACCAAGACAGTTAAGGGAAGCAAGAACTTGCAATGACGGGGCGGGGGTGAGGGGGAACTTCTCCGCGTTCTCCGGCAGGACCCAGCGGCATAGTCCAGTGCGGTCCCAGAACCGCCGCGCCCGCCCGGCAGGTGCGCGGGCCCAGGCCCCAGAGGCGCGCTGCTCAGGCCGGGGAGAACGAGCAGCCTTTCCCGGGGCCGGCGTCCGCAGCCGGCCGCTCTCTCCACCAAGCGAGGCACGGCTCCGAAGCCCCCGCCCCGGCCGGTCGCCCCCTGCACCCGAAGGGCCCTCCCGGCTCCAGACGGGGCCGGCCAGGGCAGGTGTCTGGAGGTGTCGCTCCCGCCTGAGGCGCAAACTTGGGCGAGGAGTCTGGCGTCCCTTCTGCTCCTCAGCCCGCCCGGTACCTACCCAGCGGCCACCACCGCCGCCGCTCCTCGCCCGCCAGCGCGCCGGCCTCAGAGTGAAGGAAAGTGAAACAGAAACAGCACCCGCCGCGGCCTGGCCAGTCCCCGCGCCCCGTCCGCTCTCCCCCTGCAGGCGGGAGCGCGCCGGCTCTGTGGGGCCACTCGGCTCAGGCCCGATAGGGCGCGGCGGGCCTCGGGGCCCAGGTCCGGTGCCGCCTCCAAGGGCAACTCCACCCACTTCCAACCGGCAGCACCGCCCGCCCCGCCGCCCGGCCACGCCCCCACCGCCCGGCCACGCCCACCACCACGCCCGGAGGCCGCGCCTGCTGCCTGCGCTCCTCGCAGGTGCAGCTGCCGCCCTGGCTCCTGCGCTACACGTAGCTCTGGCCAAATATTATCTCGGTTCTTCTTATCCTCACCATCTACCCCTTCGGTTGTTTTCATCATAACAATGACTGGCATATTTTTCCTGGAGGGTTTAAAAGCAACGGTCAGTGATGAGACTGACTCACCCTGAGAATTTGTCTCCTGAGCTGCGTCTTCCCCAAGTCTGTACCACCTGCGCCGAAGTAGGGACAAAGTCATCCCTTGATTTGCACCTTATTTGAAAATCACTAACAAACTTGTTACTGTAGCGTGCGTCCAGAGATCATGGTCGTTGACAACTATAAGCAAACGGGAACGTTGTGGAGGGTAAGGGTGGGGGGAGGGTGAGTGGTAAAGAAGCATTACTGTTTGCAAGGTTCAAAACAAACAAAAGCCCAGTACTCTTTCTAGTGGACTTTGAGACCTACAAGAGACCATTCACTGCAAAAACCTTCATTCAAAAACGTGTATTTTAGAAGCCAGAGCAGTTATGGCTTAACAAAAATGACAATAATAGAGGGTAGGGGAGATTGTCAATGCAAAGTATTTGCTTTTTCTCCAACTGATAGGCGTTAGCTTTTTACTATATATAGTGATAGAAGACTCTAAGTGGCAAACCAACAAACAACTGCTAGTCCAGCAGTCATACAGGTGTTCAAAGATCCATTTCAAGTTTAAAATGCATCAAGCAGTAGACCAAGGCAGCTTTTGAAACTATCCATTTTATAATCAAACTTTGACATAAGTTCAAAAATTGCCATTTCTAATATCACAGTAGGAGCAATACATTTTCTGAAACAGCTTTAAATGACCACATTCTTATAGTCCTTTAAAGAATCATTTTGCAAAATCGTATATGCCAATGTCCAAGCTGGGATCAACTTCATAAGTCACAGCAATCACAATGAGTAAGAGAAAACAAGCGAGGTCAAATAACTTCATGGCAGTAGGATTACTCTTTACCCTTCATATCTTTCATTTCAGAGACTAAATAGAACAATATGTGAAAAATCACCCCATTTCTAGTGTGTTTAAAATATGTATTGGAGGATATCACTGTATATATACGACAATATATAAAAATGACTTATTTTCCTATTTTGTGTCTGAAACTATTTTAAATATATTTTAAAAGAATAACAATGAAGTCCAGGGGGCTTAAATGTGATTGATGACCAATCACAAGTGCAGTTAATCAGTATTCCTGAAGGAAACGAGCTTGAAGGCTGGTTTTAGGATGACATATGTTAGCAATGAAGGAAGGGGTCACAAACATGTGATAGAGCAGTACCTAAGGATGAATGTGGAGGTGGGGTTGCCAGAATGGACTTGGGATGAGTGAGAACTACAACCTTTGTAAGGCAATCTGTGCTTTGTATCTGGAGAGGCAGCAATAGTTTGTAGTACAGTGTTATGTGGCTTTGCCTCTGCCCTCTTCAGCAACCATTCCATCTCTTCCACCCCAATTTAAAAAAATGCACACATACACAAAATAAAAACAAGTTTAAAAACTCAAACATTTGTCTGGTTAAAAAAAATAATAATAATAGGCCTGGCACGGTGGCTCATGCCTGTAATCCCAGCACTTTGAGAGGCCGAGGTGGGCGGATCATGAGGTCAGAAGTTTGAGACCAGACTGGCCAATATGGTGAAACCCCATCTCTACTAAAAATACAAAAATTAGGTGGGCATGGTGGCAGGTGCCTGTAGTCCCAGCTACTCGGGAGGCAGAGGCAGGAGAATCGCTTGAACCTAGGAGGCGGAGGTTGCAGTGAGCCGAGATAGCACCACTGCACTCTAGCCTGGGCAACAGACAAGGCTCCGCCTCAAAATAATAATAATAATAACAACAAAGTATTATTATTGTAATGGTAAGAGGGAATGTTGTGAAATGGCAACTTTCCTGTGTGATGTGTATGCAGATTTTAAGTATTAAAACATGGGACTTTCAGCTGCTGTGCTGCCTCTCCTTTTCCCCTGGGGCTCCTTACCAGTTACTTATCCTAGTATAGTCCCTTGGTACTGCCAGTGGGGGCAGAGGACAAACGATGGAAGCTATAACATGAGGGGGTAGCTCTGATAACAAATCTCAAGTACCAGGAGGACCCTCAAGTAAACAAAGGCCTGGAAGCAACTGGATATATAGGGCCGGGGGAAAAAAAAAAAAAGGCAGGATAAAGGAATCAAAGGAATCATAGCTGGGAGTCCCCTTATCAATAGTGTACTCCAGCTTTCTCATTTTACAGATGTAGAAACTAACATCCTGAGACGTGGCAAATTCATAATTACAGAGCTGATCCTGGTAGAGCCAAGACCAAAACAAAGGTGCCAGGTTCAGTTTTCTTTAACGTCTCTTGAAAGTACTTCTCAAGTCCAAGAACTTAAGGGAGGTCTGGAAAGAAACAGATTAGGGCCAGGCGCGGTCGCTCATGCCTGTAATACCAGCACTTTGTGAGGCCAAGGCGGGCAGATCAACTGAGGTCAGGAGTTCAAGACGAGCCTGGCCAACATGGTGAAACCTTGTCTCTACTAAAAATATCAAAATTAGCCGGGCTTGGTGGCAGGTGGCTGTAATCCCAGCTACTAGGGAGGCTGAGGCAGGAGAATCACTAGAACCCGGGATGTGGAGGTTGCAGTGAGCTGAGATGGTGCCATTGCACTCCAGTCTGGGGGACAAGAGAGAGAATACATTTAAAAACAAAACAAAAAAACCACAGATTAAATTTTTTTTTGTTGTTAAAAAAGGAAGAAAGAAAGAGAAGAATGGATGAGGAGAGGGAGGGAAATAACTGTCTAGATGGCACTTAGGAGTGAAG